ATAATGAGAAACATTTATATGTCTAGTGTAGTTTTCTTTTTAGCTGTTGCAAACTGTAACTGCATTCTTGTTGCATGTTTTGTTTCCTTTTTTTAAATAAATAAAGTTAGCTGGTGTGGTCTGCCGTTTTATTAGCGCGAGTTTACAGAGTTCAAAAGCAGTTTAAACAGGAGCGGTCCATTCATCCACCAGAGCGACTGTCAGAGCCGACTGGAGCAACAACAACTGTTTTAGGGGAACGATGAAATCCACCAACGTTAGCCTTTTTGACTGTTGTCAGCCAATAAACAAATAAGATGTGTTGTTATTGTTATTGTTTATTGTTATTGTTATTGTTATGTCTATATTATTGTTGAAGTCCTAAATGAAGTGTTTGTGCACCACGTACAGTAAGACAGGCATGGAGAACAGCACTGACTGGGAGGCTTTGAACAGATGACACACTCAGTTCAAATCAACATATAAGACTTTAAGAATGCACAAGCATCTACCTAAAATCTATTTATTTAATCTATCATCTTTGATATTTTTAGGTACAATTGTAATGTATTTTTTTTTCATCTCTGTTAAATAAACAGGCAGCCGTAAAGTATGAAATATTGATATACAAAAACATAAATTTGTTTACTGTCACAGTGGCTGATAGTGCCACACAGGCCTCAGCGCGAGCTTGAAGCCATTATAATAATGTTTAAGTTGTTTAATGTGTAGGTGCTCACGATAAACAGATTTTGAATGAAAGCCGGGAACTTCGGTAGCACAAAAACTGTCAATTCTTTGTGCACATATGGATCAGTCCCTCTTATTACCATGATTTCCCCTTAAGGTGTTTCCAAAGGCACCGTGTTAATGCCAGTCATACACAAAAATATAAACAGTATTCTATTTAGTTGGCGATAACTTTGCTTTTAGTCTTTAATCAGAAAGCCTTAAATTGGCTAGTTAAGTATCGGGCTAACGTTTAAAGCTTTCACTTGAGTGAAGTCACATTACTGTTACTGCTAAGTAATGTTAGCTAATTTCACAGCATTTCATACATCACCTCACCATAACTGCTATAACAGCGCTGCCATATTGTATCATACTCAGTGCATTTCAATCATCATAGCAAAACAATTATTTTAAAAAATTAGCATGTGTAACGTACACACACTGGAAAATTATGTACTAGGGCTTACGCAAAGTGCCCCCTGTGAAAAGGTGCAAATCCTTTTTGCAGACCTTTCAGGTGGATTTGTTCCTTGTGTTATCCATACTTTGTATTTGTTGTTTTTCAGCAAACACTTATAACAGCAACCTCCAGGAATGTGCGCAAAGTCTACGCTGACTGTAGACGGTTACGTCTTTTCATTGGCCCGGAGTCTACGGTGAGCGTAGACACTGTAGACTCGGGCCAATAGGAGCGTCGGCTCCCACTGTAGACGACCAATCGTCTGCTCGACGGAAGTTGCGTCACCAAAACAACAACACGCAGCGGAACAGCGAAGAAGCCGGCAAGTCCGCTGTTTTTATGGAAACTGGCATTTCTTTTATGTTTACGCTAATTTATCGACTCTGGATTTAGCGGAAATTACACGATAGCGCATTTAAGCCTTTTTCTTTGTGGTAAATGTTAGCCGCGCGCTAGCCGACATCTACTGTATTACGCCCATTTCTAGTCTTTTCAGTGGCTACAACTGATGTTGGCGACATTAGCAAGTCATGTTGTAAATCCAGATGCCCATGCACCTCGTCAGGCCTGGTGAGAAGTATGGTCTTCACCAAACCTGCACACAGCAGCTGCTCAGCCATCACTCACGCACAGAGGGTATCCACGCGCCTTCAAGTCAACACGATGCTTTCCGTGGCTCGTTACAAACGATCTGAGATATATGAAGTAGTACGTGTATTTAATATCATACTAGGCAGATTTACCGCACTGCCATTTACTACACATTTACCCGTGTTTGGCTATTGTCAGTACATGCACAATGATTGTTGATGGTAACATGTATGATTCCAGCCTACCTGATGGGCACTTTTGACTTTTTGCAGTTCAGCTCACTGATTGACTATCCTGCAGTGCTGTTTTCCTGTATTCCTGTTTCATCCACTTTAATAAAGTGTCCTGTGTTACAGTAACAGTGAGTTGTGGATTTACTTAATGAATGTCCAAGTTGGGCTTTAATCTGTCTTAGACATGTAGACACAACTATGTAGAAACACATAACAGACCTGAACCAAAGAAGCAATGTGTACAAGCAGGCAAAGACAAGTTTTGGAAGTATTTGTACAACACATGCCTCCGCAACAACTTCAGTGTTTCCTGGAATTGATTAGGAAACACTAACAGAGCTATTATCTGTTATGTGAGTCAAATTTCCCCAGATAGTCTTGGTTGACATCAGGTGACTGTGAAAGCCATGGTGTATGATCACGCCATTTTCATAATCAACTATTCAGTCTATTTGTCACAGGACAAACATGATCTCTCATAGCAAGTTTCTAATGATTTTACAACTCTTACCTTTGACAAGTGAACCCTAACATGGCAGCAAAGTGCAACAATGTCTCTCTGTGTAGGGATCAGGAGTTCAGGGCATGCCTTTAATTTCTTGCCTGTCTGTAAATGTCAGTGTCATGGCATGAATAATCCTTCAGATTTTACCAGTTGAAAAGTAAAACAATTACATTGTCAGAAGAACCTAAAAGACTTTGCACATAATAATCACAGAAGAAAAGAAAGGAATTGATTTTCAATTGCTCTTAATTTCAGGGCACTTTCCAACCTGTTGGTTCAAAAGAGCCAAAAGAAAATCCTCATCGATGTTGGAGTAAAAACTAGATGCTTTTATTGGAATATACACTGATAATGCTTACTGTCCTGTCATTGTAAACCAGTCAAAATACATAAATAACACATTGTGATCATGCTGAAGACCACAGACAGCAGTCCAAGCGTCAGGCGGGATAAAGGAGCTGAAAACATCACCTGATAAAGAAAAATCAGACAACAGACTGAATGAATAAAAGAAGGCTTCTTCATTGCACATTTTTCACCAATCACAAGCCTCTTCTCTCACTCTAGACTTTTGACCAATCACCGATCAGGATGAATTGCACTACTGTACTGTCCATCCGACTGTTCGGCAGACAGACATGCTGAGGAGCAAGGCAAAATTTTGCTTTTAGACTTCGGGACTCATTTTATTTCTCCATCTGAAGAAAACTATTCAAGCAGATAGTTATTTGTGGTGAATGAAATACGGTTACAGTTTCAAGAGGTTTTAAGCACTACACGCGAAATCCAAGCACTCTTCATAGATTTCAAATACCAGTATGCACCCCGATTAACGCTGTACTTGTTGAATGAGAAAACGAGTAGGACTGAAACTTTCTTTTCACATGTTATTAGGGGAAAGCGCGTACGCAGTCCCCACTACCATAAATTGTGCAGTTGAGATTCCCACATTTGAGGAATTCACAGAGGTCAGAATTGCCTTTGTGCAATGGCAAAGCCTCGCTCTGGATGAACCACCTTTGTGATCATGGTATCATCCCTGCCAGGTAAGTATGAGTGGGAGACAGCCGGGCGAGGGGTGGGTTTCAGCCGCATACGAGTCAGCCTGACGGTTTTACGGAAATAAGCAGCAACACAATGTTTAGTGGAACACGATCATAATGTGAAATCTAACTCGTTCACCAAATGATTAATGCTATTTTATTGACATGTAATAGTTAATTTGAAAGTTAAATAGGCTGAGATTTTCCCATAATGCTTTGCCGCAATGTATGGGTTCGACGTCGCAGCTTACTTCCGGTCAGCGAGCGTTTTATTTTTAAAAGTTTTGCAAATCATTATACAAACACTAGGCAGTCATTTATGTAATATATTCTGCAAGCGTCCAAAATGATAAGACTAACGTGATAAGTGAGGCTTTCCTTTTTAACTGTGGTTTCATTCAGCCAAATTGACCTGGTGACTGTTAACAGGTGTTTCCCCAGCTTTGCTCACAAAAGATTAATAAAACTGGAGTAAAATGTTAAGAAAAAAATAAGTACACTGTAAAACAAGTCCATATGGGACAAAACATGCGTCGACATTCGTCTATTTTACGAATAAACTGCTCCAGCAATGTCATGCTAGCGTGGCTGTAAGAGTACTGTGAGTTTTGGCGCCATCTAGTGGACCACCGAACACACCGACATGCTAACCCTGACCAGGGGCGGGAGCATGTGCAGTAGGCCAGCTGCTATGAGCCCTGTGAACACACGGCTATTTTGCATAAACGCAAATATTGAATAAAAGTCATCTGGCGTTTAAACAAGAACTTGTTTGGTGAAGTTAAGCTATCAACGTGCACAGTTTTAGCTGCCATAAACGATCCCATACTCGCATACATTACAGTGTAAAGAAAACAGTATAAACGGCTACTCATTAGCAGAGGAGACCTACATTATCCGACACCTGGTGATGCACAAGCTTACCAGCCTGTTAACTTAATTAGTACCCTGAAAGAAAAGTTCAGTTACAGCAGGGGTTATTAATGATTTATTAATCATTGGCTTACCCATGGACTGGCGCGACACCACCGAGTTTAAGGCCTCAAAAGCGACATTTTCAACACTCATCTGAGGAAAGCTGAAGGTGCCATTGAAGATGACGGATGGGCTGTTTTCATACAGGAAAACTTTCTCCATAAAATACGCGACGTATTCAAGGATAAACAGACTGCTGAGTAAATAACATTTAGAGAACGATGTCTGTCTCAAACGCACGTTTAAAAACGTCATTAATTGTCTAATATTTGCTTATATCAGTAAAAGCCCGTGGAGCCTGTAAAAAGAAAGAAATGTCCTGTTTTGCAAGTATTTTTATGACATGTCAGCTTGTGGCTTTATACTTTATACTTTATGCTCAGGCACACATTTGGAGTCAAACCAGCCACAGTCACAGTGCTGCTCCACGTTTTGCTCTCTGATTGCTGGCTGCATGTTTAGCCAGGTGATTACCTGTTAAGCCTCTCTGACGGTGGGAGGTCGAGAGCAGATAGAGCAGAGTATACCAGAGTGAAGCCATTCACAACACAAGAGGAACACCGCTAAAAGGAGGACACGATCTCTTATTGCTCATACTAACTGGACACAGAGGTAAGGTAAGCAATGTGCAGTAGAAAAAACAAGATCAAGTACTAACAGTGATAGAAAACACTGTTTCTTTAAGCATTCCTAAAACTGTTAATTTTCACATTTCCAAACAATAATAATGGATTGCATTCATATAGCGCATATTCACTAATATGTTTAATTGAAGTACAGAGTGCACTTACTGTGGCATGTGTGTCTCTGTTTATCCACAGCATGTCCAAAGCAGGAGAGCGGACCCCTTCAACAACTTCCGCTGACTCAGCCTCAACAGATGGGTAAATTGAGATTTGTGTATCTTCATCAAAGTAGAATAAATTTGTCTAAAAGTATGCACGATTTCCACAACTCTGATGTATAGCAGAGGTCTCTGGTGTCAAATGTGAGGAAGAATTGTGACTTTACATGTTTTAGAAAAGAAGGCGGCACTAAATCTCCCAAGGGAAAGGAGTCCCCATCAGGCTCAGTCTCCGAAACGCCCAAGAAGTCTTTGAAGAAGTCCAAGAAGGTCTCTGAGAGTAAGAACAAAGTCTACATCTCCGTGCTCAACAGTATTTTTGGGGCGGTAAGTATTTTCACCCATTCAAATGTGCTGTACAGCTGTGACCTTTGACCTTTACATATTCAATCACAGTTTTAGCTCAATTTTATATCCCAGTATCAAGTTTTTCTTCACACGCATTTGTTTAAAAAAAAAATCATTATCCATTTAAACGCCATGACAACAGTCACAGGTGTCACATGTTACAATGTCAGGAGCCAGGCGGAGGTGAGACGGTGTGCTTACAGGTGTGCTCCTGATCTTTCTGGAGCTTTTTTCCACTAAGCCTGGTGTGTCTGACGTGTTAGTCGCCCGTTAGCACAAGCTTAGCGTCACAATTCATTAGGATGATCCAAAAGAAGAGCTCCGTCAGAACGAGACCTTTTGTTTTTTGATATGTTTAGAAATGAAAATTACACACAAGTTAGCAATCTTTGATGTCATGGGCATCACACTCATTTACAAAAATGAAATGGTGTCGATTTTATTCTGTTGTGGAGTATTTGACTTTGTTTTTGCTGCTGTGACATGTCTGATTCGCGTGTGTGCAGGACAGAGAACTGGCTCAGGCTGAATTAGACGGTGAGTCTCACTCACACCTACATCAGCGTTACATTTATTACACTGAGGTGTCGGGCCTCAGAGGTGATCGCCTAAAAATCCTGTTTTGTGTTGTCAGTGGTGAATTATTACAGAGTTTAAAGGAACTGTTAATGTTAAAATGACTGCCTAAACCCAGCTTTTGTTTAGTGTTTTAATATTTTAAGCTTTTTTTTTCCAGTTCTTTTTTTTTTATTTCATTTACTTTTTGTTTCTTTCCATCTTCAAAAATCTATTGTATGTTCAAAAGTAGGGAGAAATGTTCCCAGACCACACCTTTTCATTACATACTGCAACTATTTTTCAACAGTTTTCCTTAAATTGTGTGAATTTGGGTGCTAAATGTTATCAGTAACTTTCATGTTCTCTTTGCAACCCCTATGATATTCCTCACAGAGCTGCACGAGGCCTTTAAGGAGTTTGACTACGACCAAGATGGCTACTTGAACTACAAGGACGTGGCTGAGTGCATGAGGACTATGGGATACATGCCCACTGAAATGGAGCTGCTGGAAATAGTGCAACAGATAAAGATGAGAAGTGAGTCCACTGAGAACATGTTTAATGAAATCGACCAGTCGATTTCAAATCTTTATTAAACAGTCAAGTAAAAAAAACAACAACTCCATATTTGGCCATGTTTTGGCCTTTATTGGTTCACTTAACAGCCCCTTTCTTCTTCACAGTGGGCGGGTTAATGGACTTTGAAGACTTCATTGAACTGATGGGACCGAGGATGATGGGCGAGACAGCGGACATGCTGGGACTAAAGGAGCTCCAGTCGGCCTTCATGCAGGTCTGTCAGCTAACGATGACTCAATTACCGCAGTTATCGAATTAGAGCGAATGGACAGAAATCCCAAATAAATGTGCGCACACAGTATCATCGGATACGCACGTCATTTCAAATACTTTGTTTTTCAGTTTGATGTAGACGGAGATGGAATAATCAACCTGGACGAGTTGAAGGAAGCGCTGAAGACCCTGCTGGGGGAGAAGCTGAAGAAAGGAGAACTAGAGGAGATCTTAAAGGAGCTGGATATTAATGCAGATGGGAGCATTGATTTTGAAGGTGAGAAGACATCAGCATGTTCGGGCCATTAACTGATTCATTAGAAGTGTGTGTGTTTTTACACTTTTCAAACTTTTCATCCACATTCACCATTACACTTCTGTCACATAGCCACACACTGACTCAGTTTTCTCTTCTTTCTCCTTTTGCTCAGAGTTTGTGATGATGCTCTCTATTCGCTAATCGTTCGACAGACCGACCAACCATGGACAGACTGCTTTGTTCCACAGCTGTATTCACAGTTAGGCTCACTTGTGTTTGTAACCTAGCTACAGACTTTTACTACATAAAGTGTGGCCTAGCCTTGCAATAATGCTGCATGTGACGAACTTCTGCATGACTCCCACATGTCATCAAATGCAGAATATGCCGAGTGTTATCATTTTGTAGATTCATGAACATTTTGTTGTGATATAGCATGTAAATAAGACTGCAGTGTTTTGCTATTTTAATAAAGAAATCAAACTCACTCATGCCTGTCACTGAAACGTCAGGACACATCACAACGAGCATCACGTCACAGCAGACTTCATCCCAAAAACATCTGTTTTATTGTTTCCAGGTCATTGTTAAACAAAATAGGAATGATAGTGATCATTATTATCCAGAGAATATAAGTTAAATATAAATAAGATCATGTCAGGTCGGCTAGCGTCAGAATTAGAATTGCACATTCAAATCATCAGAAAGAAAAGTTTCACATTTCAGAATCAAATCCCACATCAGGCCGGCATTTAGCGGTGGTGCCGAACCCAATCATAAGCCCAATTTATCCTCCATTTAAAACTCTATAAATATATCACTACATTAAACTTAATCTGCGTATTAATATCATAATTGTTGTTCTTACTATAACGTCAAACTAAACCGTAGCTCAGGGAATCTGTAACATGCAGCACGAGTAATCTGCTGAGATTTACGTCTCAATGCCAGGCGAGAAACGGAAACACGAGCCAGAAAAATCCAATTCCCGAAAAAGCACAGAGATGGACGAGGCGCTGACGTCACAGGAGTTATAATCAGGAGTTTGTCATGCATTTTCTCTCGTATGTTAGACTTTTGAGATTCTAAAAATACACATTTCTCTTGTTTAGAGCTGGTCACAATGTAGCTTCGATGCATTATTTATCCTTCATTTTTTAATAAAACTAAGTTTTACACATCCACACTGTAAAACTCGTCTTCAAACCACAATCAATTCTGTGTTGCATTTCACAGACAAATAAAAAATGCTCATCATTAATTTGATACTTTCCACTGAATACCAGTCACTTATATTTTGCACATGAAGTAATTTCAAAATAAAAGCTCCTGCTCTCCCTCGTACCACCTCCCGTCCATTTCTCCTACTTTCACTGGAATGTTTGCTCCACTTTTTGCACACTTTGTGACAATGAGAAGCACCATCCCAAAAGCAGATTTAGTAAACAGGTGCATGTACTGTACGTCTTCCTTGCGCGAGAGAACTTGCTCGGTTCAGTTTGTGTGGTGCTCACATTGGCAGGATTGAGGGTGTTCAGGATGACACACACTGATTGGCTTTAGGATGCTTTGGATTAAACCACATACCGAATATTTTGAATGCATGCTGCACCATTCTGACTGCTTTGCGAGGTTATATTGATTTAATTAACAGTTTATTTTTGTACTGTAGATCTGTTTGTATCAATTATGTACTTAGTCATCATGAATGGGCATGCTGTCCATTGGTCACACTGCAGTAACTCAAATCACATCACATCACAGCATCCTTCTGTGTGCAGCCTTTAACACTACAGCAGCTACGGTGCCTTCATTTCTTCACGTCGTCTTCGTTCCTCTACATGCTGCCAAACATCTCAGTGTCCCTTCTTACTTCTCAAACTCTGTTCATCTCTTTAGGAAACCCCTTTCTTCCTTTCTTTAATCCAACTAGATGGTAGGTATATAGATAAAGACAGATAAGCTTCTTCTATTTTCTCTATCCACGACACACTGCGCCTTCTTTGATCAACAGGATCTGACTAGTAAGACTTCTCAGTGGTCCTCTATTGTTTACAGCTCGTTGGTCAGCTCATCTGCAAACTCAGCCATGATGTCATGCACCCAGGTGTCCTTTTCTTCCTGGGAAGTGTCAACTAGGAAGACAGTCAGCTTCCTCTCCCATGGGTTAGTGGCTTCCTGTACGGCCTCCAGCTGGGCCACCATAGGCTTCTTCTCCACGTGGTGCCGGAAAACAATGGAGGCCTCCTCGGACCACTGCCTTTGCTTCACTCCTGCGGAGAACCAGGAGCCAAGTCCAAATGAGAACCAGGCATAAATAAATAGGTATAAATAATAATTCATAAATCAAACGCAGGTCTTGCAGATTGATGTAATTGTACAGCCCAGTTGACTGAGTGTCATGTGACGTGTACTCACCAGCCAGCTGAGCAGTGATTCCCTGAAACGGCAGCTGCCTGAACTCTTTGATCAGAGGCCTGAGCTGTGTGCAGCTGACCAGCTCGTGCTTACCATAGTCCAACTCATAAACAGACACCAAGCCGCTGTTCAGAACTCCCTTCACCAGCACACGATGCCAGCTGAAGAATCGATGGAGAGAAAGCACACGCACTCACAATTCAAGTTCTTAACAGCATGCGTTGTGAGATTTGTAGTTGTAAACTCACCTGTTTTCCACTTTAGCAGCATAAATCTGATTCTTCTCTACGTTTAGTGGTTTCTCCTCTGTTTTGTTGTAGTAGAGAATCATCTCTCCCATCAGCACTACCAGTCTGTACATGTCTCCCCATGGCTGTAGCACAAAGTGGCCGGGGTGGCACGCCAAAGATACGTATACATCCATGTTGTTTCCTGAAAAAGCAGAGTCCAAGGTGAAATAAGAACATTGAGGATTAGAGCATTCAAATGCAGTATATACTGTGTGGTGGGTGTTTAAACAAGACAAATAACAACAGTGTTTTCTTTAGACAATATACTCTTCCTTGGTACCTATAGTGGGCAGCTCTAATGATGCTGGCAGCTGGAGAGAGGATGTGGGGGATGATGGTGTTTCTGTCGGGCTGCTGGGGGTGGTGGTGGTGTTTCCACCGCCTCCACTGCCTTTGGGTCCCGACAGAGCCCTCCTGAGGTGAGGCTTGACTGGGACATTAGCTGATGTTGGGCTGCCATTGGTGGAGTTACTGGCACTGGAGGTCTTGGTGGATGAAGTAGGTGTGGAAATCCTGGCAGAGCTGAGAAAGTCATAAAACTAGAAATTCAGTTTAAATGAATTACAACTGAGAAAGGAGAAAAAATAGACATTAGCTGGAGGGCACAGAGTTAACAGGTGAAAAACCATCATGGAGAACCTGTGGCTGGTCAGGAAGACGTCTGGTTGCTGCTTTAACAGCTCGGACTGGGCCATCTGACGGTTAAGGCTGCGGTCCGGGTCATGGAAGTTCTTGTCTGTGAATAAGTGGACGTGAATGCAGCGCTTCTTTTCATCCACTTTGGCAACCTTGGTGAGTGTGGAGGGACACGAAGAAGAAAAACACAGAGGAAAAAGCACAGAAAACTCATTTAACACATTTACGGCTGCGTTTAGTTTCTTCATAGTAGAATATTTTAGAACAGAATATATTAGAATACTTTTCACAGTTGTTTTGAGTTTCTAAATCAATCTAAATATATTGCTATATGTAAAAAAAAGGATAGTGTGAATGTTTGTAAGTCTATTTTTTATCATCGTCTCCACCTCTTCAGCTCAAAAGGCCAAAAAATACATTTATAAAGGGGACAAAGCCATTTACCTTCATACTACAGTCAGTGGTGTTCAACACTTTGTCTCGAAGCCACTGTACAGCATCTGGAGTCCAGGATCCAACACTGACAGCCAGGTCTGCTAGACAGCACTTCACAGCCTGAACACAGGTTGCATGCATCAGCTTATCTAACAATATGCCCACATTTCTACAGATACCGTCTAAATCCTAACTGTATAAATGACATATGTGATCTTATTACTTATTTCTCTGGTCGGGTGTTCACTGTCTGCACATTAAAGACATAGACCCTGACCTGTGGTGGGATAGCCATAAGGTCACGGAGGAATGGGGGAGGAATCTCCCTCAGCTCAAACACCTCGACAGAAGCCTGCACGCCCACATCAATGAACAGGATGTCCAACACTCTGCTGCCATGAAGGTTGGTGATCTAAAGAGACAAGAAAGCGTCACGTTATTAAACTGCCTCGGAGAAAAGTTATAGATAAACAGATAACTATACTTGGTGTTGATTGCAACACGAGGATTAACTGAGGTTGTGACTGCTTATCAAAGGTTAACAAAAGGAAATAAATGGTCCTCTATTGAGCAACAGTCATTTTGTTCCTTGTTTAATAATTCACATTGTTTATTGCAGGAAACAGTTACCTCGACACGGGACCATTTTCCTTTGTAGCGAGCCAAACATCTTTTCCCACAAAAAGGTCGGGAGACCAGGAACTCTGATGTTACCTGGAAGAAAATTAATGGAATTAAAATCTTTAATAAAAAACCCAAAAAAAACCCCATAATTGTTACATTTGACTACAGTGTTACAATGTGACTTCGATCTAAAATGTTTCCTTATGTTTAATGTTTCATTCTGTGTATTTCTGACCTAAACTCATCTGATCCAATAAATCTTCCGTCTTAACACAACACGCTGGCAGCTCTGCTCTGTTTACCCAAACGCTGACGTAAAAATGACGCTACACGCTTTAAAGGCCGCTGAACTACAAAAGCATCCGCTGCACTGTGCTGCTAACAGACTAAGTGGCTTGGCCATGTCTTAACTCCAGATTAGCAACCTAATCGGAATCTGTCCACAACACTGCCCGAGAGAAAACACATGGCATTGTTACATTCACAAAAGTCTTTTTAAGATGACGTTGATGAGCTCCGATCTACTAATTCAAAGAGAATTAGAAGAAGAGATAAAAGGTTGGATTATTTTCCAGTTTGTACACAGGACGCATGTATGTATGACCCAATGTGATCCAGTTATTTAATGGCAATACATGCATTTTTATATAAGCTCTAAGAAATGATGACATGTAAAGCCACAGAAAGAGAAGTGTGAGCCAGAAAATGAAAACCTCATTTGGAACAAGTCTCATTCAAGTCCTCAGAGCCTGAAATTAGCATGAAGTTTTCTGAAGCTAATCTACTCAAACATAGCCATGAAATCTTGGAGGTGTCTGCAGAAAACCGACTAATTCTGTTTCACCTGGGCCTACTGCTGGACAAAAGCGACTACGACTACACAATGTTCGGTTGACTTGTTTTGTCAACTGTTGTTTGCAGAGTAACGTTCAAGTGTAGCCATTTAACAGTGCACAAGGAGACACACTATACTGAAAATAGTAACATAAACAGCTACAGTGTGTAATAGACACTATTATATAATATACTTGAAATAAATGTAATTTAAATGAAATAATATTTTTGCATTTTCTACAACACGCTGTCTGTTCTTCTGCATATGCTCAGCTGTAATATTTGCATATCAATTAAAAATGACAAGATATCAGTCATGTTAGCTGTTTTAGCTTTTCTCTTACACTACGATAAGAAGATAGAACATATCAAGGCTACAAGATTATAATCAATCTGCACACTGATAAAAGTACCACAGTTCCAAAAAAGCTCTGAGACAGCACACGAAGCAGGCATTTACCTGTGAGTGGAAGTACGTCTCTATTTTCTCCAGCGTCTCATTCATTTTGGTAAGACCTCTGGAGGGAGGCTGACAGTAGATAGTCCCATCAGAACAAACGCTACTGATGGCCACATTCATATAAGCGCTGTTCACCTGAGGAGAGCCATAAAAAAAATCGTGCTGTGTTACAAAACCACATGCATACCCACACGTATTCACGCACAATCACTTCGGTACCTGTAACGGACTCGCTAGCGACTTGTCGTGCAGAGCTTTCATGCAGGCAGCGTTGATGTTTATGTCATCATCCTGCGACGTGTCGTACAGGACAACCAGAGGGGTCTGCCCTCTCTCCAGGATCTCGGCCAAGAGAATCTTTCCACTCGCCATCGTCTCAAACTTCTTCAGCACCGCCAGGTCCTGACAGAATGGCTCAAGGCCTAGGCACACACAAAGACACAAAAAATATATATTCTCAGGTACTAGAAACCTTTGGAGAAGCTCTTTTCCATAGAACGATCAGATCTGTGACTGGGCCCTGCAGCACTGAACATTTCTGACTGGTCGACTGTTTATTGGCTGCATAAACGACATCTACTTACACAACTTGAACAGTTATGTGCAAAATGACGTATTGGACTAATCTCCACAGCTTTTCGCTGTGCGTGGAGGCAACTTTGCTTAAAATCCCGGGAATAAAATCTCAGTCTTTTGTGCATATGAACCAACTAGGAAAGGAAAAAGAAAGTTTGACAGGAGTGGCAACAAATTTCTTTAAGTAATGTTCAGTTTTCTTCCAAATTACTTGTGTTTTTATGATTAAATGACGAGTACACCCACCTGCCAGTTTACACTTGGCTGCCTGGAAAGACAGTTTAAAGAACTTCTCATGCAGTTCAAACACTTTGTTTTTGCTGATCACCTCTGAGAAGCCATGATCCACATAATACACCTATAGAGCCAAAAAAGAAAAGATCAGAGGGAGAACATACTTGCTCAAATTAATCCTTCAGGTCATTTCCTGTGTTTGACCCCTCACCTTGACCTTGTCAGTCATGACCTCACAGACTTGTGCCCTCAGAACCTCCTCCTCTTCCTCCGCCCTGACTGCAACAAGCTGGCCCGAGGACAGGGATGATACAGGTGTTGGGCTGCTTTGGTCCAAACCATAAAACTCTCTCATTTCATCTTCCATGGACTCCTGAGCCTGGGAGTAACCCTCACCGATGTACCTGCAGCGGAGGAGAGACAGTCAGGGATTTATGCTCTCCGCCTTGTTACGACGCAATCGCACAACTTCTGTCTTACCTGAGTAAAACCCCGTTCGTGTTGGTCGCCTCCACCACCAGCACAGAGGGGTACTCCTCTTTGGGGATCTGTAGTGGAGGCACTGCCTGGTTACTGAGCCTCCTCCCCAGCTCCTTCCTCACCCTCAGCTCCTCCTCACTGGCTGAAGAGTTCCTCCTGTTGCAGTTCTCGTCCTCTCCTCCTCCACCTCCAGTACTGCTTCGCCTGTACAGGATGGCCCTCTTGGGGTTGTCAGGCATCGGGTAGTCGATGGTGCAGATGTCAGAGAGGAGATCGAGGTTGACCAGAACATGTCCTGGCAGTTTGGTCTTAAAGACACATAAGATATAATAATATTATCAGGTTCACCCGGCATGTACATGAAAGTATACTGAAGTATTACTGACTTTGTAGGTGTCCTGGAAGAGCTTGGGTAGCGCATGGGCCCACAGGCCACTGGAGTACTTCACTAACAGTTCCTCCAGCTTCTGCTTCAGGTCAGGGCTGAGGGTTGCAGGGGACGAGGGAGGGCTGGGTGAAGAGGAGGATGAAGGTGGAGACTGAGAAGACCGAGAGCCAGAGCGAGTCGGACGAGTGCTGGGGGCTCTCTGTTGGACAGAGGATTGGAAAGGTTTGTCTGCGGGCACGTTTGTGGTTGTAGCAGAGTTTGGGTGGGTGAGGATGGGCGAAGAGGAGGAGGAAGTGTTTGTCTGTTCCTTGGCAGGGTAGAGAAGCCGCTCTGATGGGTTGCTGCTGCAGGTTTTCTCTACCTGGAAGGACAAACGGAGCAGCCCTATTACAAAAGCATTTTGCATTGCACTACAATGATGTTTTAGAATTATCTTTCTCTTTGCTTGGAAACAGAAACCCTTATTAAGCTACCAAAGCACGAATAATAATTACAGCATCATAAGCGACACATACTATGCAAATGTGCGTCCAGGTCTCCAGGTCTTTAATGGCCTCTGTGGGCAGGTCTTGTTTGTAAAGCTCTCTGTACATCTGAGGCAGTTTGGACACCCAGAAGCCATTACTGTACTTCGCCAAGATCTCTCTGATGTGACCTTGGACCAGTTGGGGGTTGTAGGGCTTTGCTTTCCCAGAACCAAAGCTCTCATTTAAGTTTGAGGGTGCTGGAAGATAAATAGAGAAAAACAGACAAGAAGGAAAAAAAGATCAGACACATGTATAAAGCCCACTACTGCTTCTAAAGTAATCATTTCCTTGGACCTAAACTATTAGATTGAATGACGTGACTTCACCTCTAAAAGTGAAACAGAAGCAAAAGAGAAAACAAAATAGGAGAGTGAAAAAAGCCCCATAACTTCTATTTTTGTGTGCTGACTCAAAGGAAATCCAAAATAAAGGAAAGAACGATATAAAACAAAAATCACTAATAATCAGAAAGGAATTATCTTCTGCCGATTTGGAGGACAGAACGATACACAACATGTATTTTTAGTGTGCTGAAAAGGAGCCTGTCCTACTTACGAGCGGTCTGCTGGGAGTTTCTGGAAAGGTGAGCGTGCACCTCTTTCTGAAACCGTGATGGTAGGGTCATCCTCCTGAACACAAGAGAACAAACAAGAAGGATAATTAGCTTTTTGCAAGTTCTAAAAGGCAAAGAAAAAGAAAATACTGATGACAGGCCGTCTACCTGTTTCTTCCTTCTTTGTTTAGAACGTCTGACTCTTGGGCCATCCTTTAAAAAAACATTACATTTGATTTGGAGCTGGAAGGTCTTTTATCTTATTTGAGGCAAAGCACAATCAGAGCTTCAAAATAACTCAGGTAACATTTCAAAGTCCAAACAGATAGCTTGCTAAAGTTCTCAGAATGATGACCTGTTAATCCTGAGATACTGCACAGCAGGAACTGCATTGCACTAGTTTCCCAATGCAGTGATCTGCTGAGTACCTCTATCTGTGCACTGAGTAGAATATGCATCTCTTTACTCTGCTGAAATCTTCACTGATCTTCCATCAATTTCGTCTGCCCCTCATCTTTATCATGTCTGAGGGACAACTCAAATCACACAGCTCTGTTTAAACATTTCTCCAATCAGTCAGAACTCTTGCCTCACTCAGGTACATGTTAATGTAATCATGCAGTCAATAAACAGAGCAACAGCACCATTCGCTTCAGAGCCCCAAATGGCTGTAAGGACATTAGAATGTCTTACCTACACATAAAATCTGTATATTACAAAACACAATAACAGGAAACGTGCACTACACTGACCTCTTTCTTTATTTTTTGAGGCCTGTGGAGGTGGTGAAAACACACTGAAGGAATAAACAATTAAAAGTAAATTCAGGCTTTTTATTGAAGCGTCCTGAATAACTACAGATGATATTTTTATGTAGCAACATTAACGTGGAGGTCTCCACCAGTGTTTTTTTATTGGCTGGGCAATAAAATGACTGAAAGCAGTACAACAGGTTCAGCCGTGCAGTGTGCAGACATAAAGGTGTCCAAGTGTTTGCCTGCCTCAGCACGTTGGCAAGAACGAAGAAGAGTAGTTTTTAATTTGAGACAAATATAGTCGTTTTCTAAAGTTACGAGCTTTTATTGTACCTTTTATTGTAATCTAATGAACCGTCTTCAACTTAAGTAACGTTTTCCTTACTTCACTGGTTTTTCATCAAATGACATATAAATGATGTTTAAATGTAATTCAGTGTTGTACTGCGCCTGTCTTTTTACTGAATTTACAGCTTGCACATCCAGGCAGCCCATAGTGCTACTGCACACACTATGCACACACACAAATAAATGATGATGACTCTGGCTTGCACAGTGGAACATCTAGAGGGATACAGAGAGATGTGCTGATTCACTCTGTGCTGGTTTAGAAGAGTTAATCTACCACAGAATAGAACAGGGATTAAAACGGGCTCATGCTCCCCCTGCACTGGGCTCGTGTCCCCTGCCAATACACCAGGCGTCCCACCCTGTTGCCCCATTGTGCTACAGAGGTCCAGCAGCACCTTCAGTGATACAGATACAGAACTGATGTCAGTTGTTTTCACAGGACGGTGAACTAAATAGTGGGTGGATGGAAGTGGGAGAAACAGTCATTGAGCAGAAGTGATATTTGATTCATTGTTGATGAAATATGATGTAGCAAATGACAGCAGCAGCACGAGTACAAATGGAACAATGTTAGATACATTGATAAAAAAGAAGGAAGAACAAAGGTAGAAAGAATGAAGTGAGACAGAATACAGAGAGAGAACCAGAATAATGTAGAGAGCGTATCATCAGCCCAGTGCTGAATAAGCAGCAGCAGCAGCAGGGAGATGGTTATCATCCAGAAACCAAGCAGAGTTCAACCAGACATCCATTCACGAGCAGACTCGTGAATGGGTGTCTGCTCGTTTTGATTCAGCTCAGCTCACACAGGTGGAGAGAAGGCAGAAAGAGAGGGTAGCAATGAATTTTTACGTTGCCTATAACTTTATAAAAGCAAATAAAGACGACAACAAAATGAGCTCTTTTATATCTTCCATGACTAAAATATTTTAAAACAACTTTTCTGGCATGAGATCTGAATTTTCTGAGCACAGCTGCCTGTGGCTCATTACTCTACATGGGTTTCCAAAGGACTGTGGAAGTCTGCTTGATGACTGATGCATGTAAGCGTACAAAGAAATCCCCACAAATATGTGGAGGTGGGGTTGAAGGATGTGAGCCTAACTAGATCTTTTCATAGTGAAACCCTAAAGAATTTTTCACTCTTTTGTCCAGTTCCAAAGACTGGATTTTGCTATTGAGGGCATTTTATATCATCTAATCAAATAAATAAACTTAACTGACAATCTGAAAAGTGAAACACCGCTCTTCTCAACCTTCCCGCTGGATCTACTCACTCTCATCCAAATCCAAATTGCTTTACTCACTTGTCTGGAGGTTGGTTTCCTTTCCTGTTGGATGTGTTCTGACTGGACATCTTGTTCGGATGCCCCCCAGTCTTGCCCTCTGATGGGCCATCCCTTAAGTCTCTTGCCTGTCTGAAGTCTCCATGTCCAGCCCCACGGCCAGGGCCTCCTCCTCTACCCCCACCTCGGCCACGGTGGTTCGGTTGCCTCAGAGAGTTTTGAGGTTTGGCTGTGGAGAGAGAGAAAGCAAACACGAAAAAAAAAAATAAAGTTATGGACTTGAAGTGAATACAAGCGCAAGAACACAAACACACACAGACACACACACAACCTAACTAAGCTAAACCTGATTCTAGGACATGGACAGTGTGCCTGAAATCCTTGCAGTTGTTGCGTTCTACTGTAAAAAGTCCACGTGGTCACAAAAAACAGGCATTTATGTCACCCAGGCCTGAAAGAAGCCTTCAGGCCTGCAGAGCTGATGTGCTTTTAAAATCTAAAAGGAGCAAGTCCAGGTGTTTCCACTTGCTTCCAGTCTTTATGTTCGGTTAAGATAACCGACACATGGCTGTAGTGCACCAGTTATTGAACAGATGCCTCATTTAGCTTGAAGCGATTACGGAAAACAAAGTTTATTCCTTTCAACTGGCACAGCTAAGGTGAAACACAAGTTCAACTGTATGTTTAGTTTAAGACTGGAGGTACATGTAACAAAAAACGTCAGGATTAGTCTGATGTGAGTATAAATCCAGTGATTGTAATCCATTACAGTCCCTGTTTATCCAGCAGAAAGATGGAAAGTCAGAGTTACACCATTCACATTTGTCCTGACATCACATTTCTGCGCGATGACCTCACCAGTATACCTCCTGTGCATAACCCTTAGTCATTTACACTCCCACACTCTGTCCTTTTCATTTCTTCCTCACACTGACTCTTCTTTTATCTCCACTCTTTCTTCTCAATCTCTTTGCTTCTCTGTGAGATCCAGAACTTTCTCCTGCTTTCTTATTCACTCTGTTCTCACTGAATCTCCACAATTTCTATTGAGAGAAAAGAGCTCCTTCATCAGCCACTGACTTCAAAAGTCATCAGCAGGCAATTCCCGCATCTAAATCTATTCTGTGGACATCCTATTGGCCACTGGCACTCAGTCAATTAATAAATCAGCCAGTTAATAAATCACTGAACTATACACACAAACACACACACACACACACACACACACACACATTAGAGAAACCCAGCAGGCATAAGCATAAATCCACATGCAGATACAGTCAAGGACAAACACCCACAAACATACACACCAACACTAGGAGCAGACGCTGCATCACCTCACCGGCATGGACACACAGTCCCTGGTCTGTCTCTGCCTGAATAATAATAACCCAAGCGGGGAGGAGAGAAGGAGAGGGTGCATGTGCGTGGGGAAGAGAGAGCTTGATTTGTGAATCAGCGTCTCCTCGCTTGCAGCTGACTCTCAGCTGCTTCAGACCGTGTTAGCCTCAGATTTCAACATCCTCCTCTCCCTCCCTCTCTCTCTCCTTTTTTGACTCCTTCCTTCCTTGTCTCCTTACCATTTCACCATCCCTCCATCTTTCTTCTCCTCCAACCGTCTCACTGCCACTCTTTCTCTCTCCTCTACTCCTTTGTCTCCCTCTCTCTCTTTCTCCTCCCTGCACTACCACCTCCCACTTCCTCCTCTGGCTCTCAGAATATCCTGCAGCATCACAGTCTAGCAGAGGTGTGTGCACTGTAAACGTTTTAGTGCAAGTGTGTGTGTGTGAATGCAAAACGATAAATAAAAGTTCAGAAATGTTTGCGGACACGCAGTAAGGATGTATACGGGCTGAGATATCGGTGCACCTGATGCTCGCGTGCAGCCCTGAATACCGTGGAGCTGCTTGTCTGAGTGTGTGAGATATCCTTAGTACCTAAAGGATGAGCAGGTCTCCACAGAAGGGCAGTTAAACAGGGCAGCTCTTCATCTACAAACTGTGAGGCTGCAGCACATAAAGCATTTGCATTTTGCATTGTCACAGCACTGAGATAGACACTGAACACCACTTCTGTTTCTATGCTGCTGCAGCAGCACTGCTGCACTGTAACGCTAGAGGAGTCTGGAAAAGATCCTTTTTGTTGTGTGAAAATGTGAAAGTTTGGGTACTACAAAACTGCTCCGTCATCATCATCAGGCTTTTACACAGCAGATGGCTCCACTAAATGGCTCACTTACCAAATCGAGCTCTCAGTTTATCTCTGAAAAGTGTTTTTTCTTTGATTTTGAGGAAAACTGCAACATTAGGGTGGATATTCTACAACAATACAACAACGTCCAATCTCTAGGTTGTTTATGCTAACACATGTTCAGTTTTGTGATGTAATTCACTCAGTCTTCAATCGCTTTTTCTAGCCGAGCTCCACATATTCGTGCTCCTGCAATGACTGCAAAACAATAAATACTTGGAGTTTTACTCTGAACTGAACCTGATGGAGAGTCAGAGGGAGGGAAAAATGCCAGTGCATATGAGGATACATCTTGTTTAACTTTTTACAGTGAGCAGAATAAAAACACGTCTCCCTGTCCTTTCTCAGCAGTGCGCACACAGAGAACAACATTCATGTTTCTTTCTTCCTTTTACTTCCCGTCAGTGAGCACGATTACAAGTCTGCCCAAACGCAGACTTGTTAAGTGTGTTCCATTAATGTCTGAATATAAGTATGTTAGAGTTATAGTTAAATTAACATGTGCAACAATTCCAGTCTCATGCTCTCGTCTTCAGACACGTTCAATCGAACGCAGCAATATAAACAGTTAAATTCCTCTTAGTGCCATTTGGCGAGCTGTGCCAATTAACTTTGAAATGTAATATGAACTATAAACTTTTTGAATTACTGACAAAAGCAGACTTTGAGAGTTAATAAATATGTAAAAGTGTTTTCACTCTGTGATGTGTTTTACAACATTATGAACCGCAAGTTCTAACTATGAATGATGGTCAGGTTCGAGTTGACCTTTTCAGGCAGCAGTGTGGCTGCTCTTCTCTATCAGCCCATCAGTTGTAAAGCCAGGTTGTGTGACAGCAGCCCTGGTGCATAGCTCTGGTTTAGTTTCACACACTGCCGAAAAACCCAGAGCGTCAGGCACATTTACGCATGTGTCACAGTAACGGTATCTTCATTGCCCTAAATCAGCCTTACTGATAATTACCAAAATACTTTTGAATGCTTCATTAATGGTTCATCTGCAAGTATACAGAAGCTCTTCAATCAAAATATTGTTAATGCTAAAAAATAATTATTGTAGTTATCATGTATGTTCAAATTTGCTAATTAACAAAAAAGCTAAAAAACAAAACAAAACCCAACAACACAAAAACAGTGAAATACATTTTTTTCTAAAGTTATCGCAGTTATTTATCTGCACGCCTTAACTGAAGAATTAGTTTTAGTGGTTGAATGCTATGATTGATTAACGTCTGACTTCTCAGAAAAGTCCAGTCTGCCAGTTCAAATATGGGTATACAAACAGAAATTCAGTTCAGTGAATTCAGCAACTTTTACTTTTAAACAAGTTTTTTAACATTTTTGTGTTTTCTTGTTTTTATCACAGGTGGTTTATCAAATCTGTTGAGCACTGTAGATTTTATTTCTGTATGAAATGTATACATTTATCTCTGAATAAAGCCTGCGCTCCATCTGAGTCTCAATCCTCAGGACCCACAAAAAGTCCAAAGCAATTTCTAACATATCAGTTCAGCTGTATATCATTCACATATTTATTCTCCTGCAGCCTGCTGACTGTGAGCACACCCCTGACTCTTCTGATGTAGATAC